CTCGGGCGGGGGGGCCGCTCGGAGCCTACGGGGCTGGGAGCCCGCGTCCCGGGGCCGCCGCGCTCAAATAGCTGGGCAGCCCCAGTCCCCGCGGGGGAAAAGCGGTGTAGGAGCCGAGCCGAGCGCTCGCAGTAGTGCCCCGTCCAGGGGAGCTGCTCCGCGGCTCGATGGGAGCCGGAGTTGGTGCTCGGTTTCACTTGCGCTGCCTTAAACGCTGGAACTGAAAGGACCGGCGGCGGAGAGGGGAGCTGTGAGGTGGTGAATAGGTCCGGTTAATTTCTGCTTTTAAATGAACCCCATGGCTCAGTAAAACCGAACCGGTGTGGCTTTCTGGGGTAACCCCGTGGCTGGGGTAAGCTGTCAGCACATAAAGCGGTCCTCCAAGTTAAGGCAGAAGTGTTGCTATGCTGCACATACAGTAGAGCCCCATATGTTTAGGATTTTCTTTTTTTTTTTTTTTTTCCTCCCTGTTAGAAAGTTTGAAAAAAAGAGACTTTGAAGTATTTTGTTTATACTAACAGAAGAGAAAAGTTCTCCTAAGAAAAAGCTGGTGGCAGGAGTGTAGAGGAGTAGCATATGGCATTAAAAGGAGCACAGCTGGAGGTAGCATTTCCATCTGAACATGATGTCAGAGCAGCTGACAGCCTGCCATCCCTCAGCCTTTTATTCTAACACACAGACAGGGAGTTAGTGTGTGCAGATCTGTGTGTGGAGAAGGTATCTCATTCCTCTCTAACATCATCTCCACTTTGCATCTGTCTCTCCTAGTCTGCTTTTTTTCCACCGATCTAACAGACCTGGAGCCAGCAAGACTCAGAGGAAAGGACTTAATCAGGTTTATGTGTACTAAAGGTAGGAGTAGCAATAGATTAGATACAGCATATTTCTGTTTTGGTGTGTTGTTTATTGAATTTTAGAAAAAAAAATCACATTACTTTTCTAACCAAGTTTAGAGGCAATATATGAAATTGACTATTAAATAGATAAGTGGACTTAGTCAAAAGGCTTGGGCTACAGTTGGAGAGTATCAGTGCTTGGGCACATTGTTAGCATTAACTTTAATGCATATTGTGGGAATGTCTTGGTTTGGAAGAAAGAGAGAGCAAGTTCATCCTTAATTTCTGAGACCAAAACTGCAGTGGATTTAGTGGCAAGCCTAAAGAGAGTTTTGCTTTATGTTCTTGTCTTGCATCTTTTAAATTACTTTACAGGGGTTTTAGTGAAATGTATGAGATGTGCGTTTTTACAAAAGGACTTTCCTAGCTAAAATGTATTTGTAGGGAAGTCCTTCGTTACATGGTTAAATATCCAGCAGCTCAGAAATGTAGTAGCATACAGCTGTAGTGCTTCTGAAAGATAGAAATCAGTTATGTGTTTAAAAACTTTTGTACCCGGGAGAATGGCTTGACTGGTTTCCTCTTTTTTTCCTTGCATGTAGCATTTGAAATCTTTTATTTAGTGTAACAATAATTATTTGAAGGAGTTTTTGTATTTGCGACTAATTTAGAACTTGTAGATTTGAGCTGCCTGAATTGGCCAGACAGCTGTAATCGCACTCCTCTATTCTTAATCTCTTTATCTGGGCAGCAGCTGCCATATGGCCACAGTCAGCTGGATCAGATGTTTATAAGCTTCCTTCTTCGTCCCTCTCTGTCCTTTCAGCCTCCTAATTTGATCACAGCTACCTTGTGAGCTGCCCTCCAATCTTTATTTTTAGCCCTCTTAAGGATTAGGATTGATGTTGGCTGTGGGGCACTTAAAGTGATTGTATTGTAAATCTTCATGCTTTACTCTAGCAATGGTATTTTACAGAATATAGTAGGGGTTGTGTTGTAAGTTTTAGTACGTCTTGGTTTGCGAGGGATGAAGATTTTTCAATAATATTTGCCAGCCCGGAGAGTCACGAACTGGTTAGATGGTTTGGGAGACCATTGCTATCAATCACAGAAGAATAGATTAACACAGGCTTTTAAAAGATTTTACTTTCCATTTGATTTTTTGATTTCTTTACTTCTTTTTTAAGTTTATTTTGTCTTTATCATCAAGGGAGGCAAATAAAAAAGCACTTGGGTAAGAACACTACTTGGGATACTCTTTTTAAACGTGGACCCATGCTCACGTTGAATGGTTGAATGACTTTTTTTTTTTTTTTTTTAAGCTTAGTACTGCAAACTCTGCCTGGTGTGGGAGGGGAGGGAAATTTCTGTCCTTCTGCACTGGGGAAGTGGTGCTCGTTGGCGTTTTGGTTGTTAGCTCTCTTTTGTATATTCTGCATGTTGGCAAAAAATGTTCATATGCTATTGTACAGTACAGAGGAGATTTAAAACCTTTAAAAAACCTGCTCTTACTACAAGAAGAAAACCATATGAACTTAATTTGTAAAAATATCCATTTTTGCTGTTGATATAAATTGACACAGTAAATAATTTTTGTAGTTTATGAATGTTAGACCGTCAGATTTGGGTATATTAACATTTCTTCGTGTGAGAACCTCTCCTTTTACTACAATTTGAGTTTAAAAAGAAGGTAGATGATCCGGTATATTTTTTCTGCTGCTTCTGTGATCTCTCAAACTTAGTATTTAAAAATTTTTTAATTTTTTTTTTTTTTTTTTTTTGTGGTGGGGGGTGTCTGCTCACCTAGAGACTCAATCTGGAGGAAGTTCTCTAAAAA